TTTAGGTAAATAATGATTCTTTAATGTTTCTTTACAATTTTTCCTTTGAAATTTAGCACATAAATAACAATTATTAATGTAGTTTTCAATGTCTTTTGCCATATTAGGCCACTGATAAAATTTTTTTGCTCTTTTAATTGTTTTGGTTATACCCAGATGAGTTTCATGTAAAAGATTTAATATTAACTTTCTGCATTTAAATGGGACTACTATTTTGTCATTTATGTGTACTAGTGCATTATGTAAAGTTATGTCATTTCTATGAGAGCAGAAATATCTAAGTTCATCTAAATTTGGAATTTTAGTTTTATCAACTGGTCATTGAGCTTTATAATATTCCATAATTTTATTTAGTACTGGGTCAGCTATAGTTTCATTTTTAAATTCTTCAAGCTTATTATTGCTAAATTCTACATTTAAAGTATTAATTATATGAACATAGTCATTTATAGATTCATCCTTTCCTTAAAATCATGAATATAATTCCTAGACAAATAATCTGCTATAAACATTATTTTGCCTGGTAGATATTTTACTTCAATATCATATACAGTCAATTTGGTTTTAATACTGTGGCGACGTAAACAACGCACCACGAGTCGTCCAAGTTGTTTACAATATTGTCAGTGAATAATGGAAAATCCCATGTTCTATACTCTATTCGCCATAAGTTGACCCACTTGCTCGACGAAAACCGGTCRTAGCTGCGCAGGCCACCGCGTCGTCGGRGCGCTAGTGTTTATCGTTACCACCGCACCTGGCGTATACGTARTGATTTGATTATTTTCACGACGTATCGACACTATCTCCGCGAACGCGCGCTATTATATTGCTATAATTCGTATCAATTATTTTGTATAACATTCTGTATGTACGGCGGCAGCTGACTACTACGACGAACACCGCCGATTGCCGAACACCACTGACCAATCACAAACCACCTGTCTCCGACATGGGGGGTCTGAACGTTTCGGCGGCTCAGTATGCATGCGCGCAAGTGGGTCAACTTACGGCGAATAGAGTATAGAATACACGATAATTATCTCGTGAGGGTAATTTCGAAAAAGTTCTAGAACAATCGACGCATATATATACCGACGGGTCAGACGCTCAGTCAGTCAGTCCGAGAGTACCCTCCGCAGCACAACGTGAGTACACTACGCGACACACCGTGAATTACACACCGCAATATTCTCCGCGTTTTCTCCGTCATACATTGATATTTGTTTTTCACATTTATTTTCACACATATTTATGTAATAAAGTGTTTATTTTTAATTAAATTAAATTGTGAGTGATTTTTATTGCCTAAATCCCACAAATTGGTGACCTCGACGTGATGGYGGAGACAGACGCAACGGTTGATCGAGTGGCAGTCAAGATACCGGACACTTCATTTCGTCAGATCCTGAACTTTGGTTTGCTATGGTAGAAGGAAGTTTCGCCAGCGCGGGAGTCACAATTGACAATACGAAATTCGGGTATGTTGKTGGAGCATTACCGCCAAAATATGCAGTTGAAGTCAATGACATAATTATGACGCCGCCCTCGGACAGTAAGTACACTAAAATTAAACAGGAATTAATAAGACGTCTTAGTGCCTCCCAAGCGGAAAAAACACGCCAACTTTTGGAACGCGTTGAGATTGGAGACCATAAACCGTCACAATTTTTACGCCWCCTCCAAAGCCTAGCTGACTCTTCCGTTCCGGAAACATTATTGAAGACACTCTGGATGGGTCGCTTACCGATAAGTATACAAGTAGCGTTAGCAATAGTTAAAGACAGCAAGCTTGAAGATCTCGCTGTCCATGCAGACAACATCGCTGATGCATCGGGTCCTTTTCTACCTCAAATAGCAGAGACTTCAAGAAGTGATACTTTTRAAGCCATGTYGAATCTTAAGATCTCTCAACTTAGCTTAAGTATYAATCAAGAAATCGCGACCTTGAGAAGTGAAGTAGCGGCGATAAATACTCGTCCCTCGCGTAATCCGAACTCAAAACAAAGTACTTACAGTTTGAGATCTCGATCTYKAAACCATACTTTTCAKGKCGTAGATGGATTATGCTGGTATCATTGGCGTTATGGATCATAATCATGAAAATGCAAGGAACCTTGTACCTATAAATCGGGAAACGGGACGGGACATCACTGATGACGGCCAGTGAGCCTGGTCCGTTTCCACGCCGTCTCTTCATCACAGATCGAACTTCTCAAAGCTCAAAGCAGTAAAAAAAGAGTTTGAAGCTATGATCCAATTAGGCATTATTCGACCGTCTCATGGACCCTGGTCATCTGGTATCAAAGAACACAACGGATGCCTGGCGTCCTTGTGGGGATTACCATGCTCTAAATGCTCGGACTATTCCAGATCGGTACCCGKWTCGTCATATTCAGGACTTTGCGCATTTTTTCCATGATMAAACAATTTTTTCAWCAATCGACTTAGTCCGAGCTTATAATCAAATTCCTGTAGCTGAAGAAGATATCCCTAAAACCGAAATCGTGACACCATTTGGACTTTACGAATTTCTCTTTATGTCTTTTGGGCTTCGAAATGCAGCACAATCGTTTCAAAGATTTATTGACGAAGTACTTCGTGGACTTGATTTCTGTTTCAGCTACATTGACGACATTCTGGTGGCATCAGTTTCTGAGGAATAACACATTAAACATTTACAAAYCATTTTTGAACGGCTACGCGAATACTCTGGTTCTTAATCCAAAGAAATGCTTTTTTGGACAATCAGAAGTAAAGTTTTTGGGTTACATGATTTCTAAGGAAGGWACACGTCCTCTACCTGATAGAGTCTCTGATATATTGAGCTTCAAGAGGCCATCGTCAGCTAAGGGTCTTTGACAGTTCTTAGGTATGTTAAACTTCTATCGTCGTTTTATAACTAGAGATTCAGATGCACAATCACCACTAAGTGATCTCTTAGTACCTAATCTAAAAGGTAAAGCACCTATTAACTGGTCACCAGAGGCTATTACGGCGTTTGAAAAATGCAAGGAGGAACTCGCCACAGCTACGCTTCTCGCACATCCWTGCGACAATGCTCGACTGGCTATTGTAAGCGATGCTTCAAACACCGCGGTTGGCACAACTCTTCAACAGTTCATCAATGAGGAATGGCAACCTCTCGCCTTCTTTTCTAAGAAGCTCACAGTGGCTRAGACAAAATACGGAACTTACGATCGAGAACTTCTTGCAATCTATCTTGCTATTAAACATTTTCGGCATATGGTGGAGGGACGCGAGTTTGTTATATATATACCGATCACAAACCCATCACTTTTGCATTTCAACAGAAACCAGATAAATGCACACCACGACAATTCAGACATTTGGACTTTATTTCACAATTCACCACGGATATTAGGTATGTACCAGGTAAGCAGAATATCGTGGCTGATACCCTATCTCGTGTTGACGTATTGTCAGACACATTAGATTACACTGCTCTGGCAATATCACAACAGGGAGACGACGAATTGAAAAAAAATGAACAAGAAAACTCTGGACTACAACTCAAGCAAGTTCAATTGCCAGGTACGAATGTTTTAGTGGTATGTGACACATCAACTTCAATCGCCAGACCTTTTGTCACAAAGCCTTTTCGACGTACAGTTTTCAATAGCCTACATCGTCTTGCACACCCAGGCGTTAAAGCCACGGCGAAGCTTGTTAAACGGAGACTTGTGTGGCCAGCAATTGACGCAGATTGCAAACATTTGGCGCGGTATGTGTCGAATGTCAACGAGCCAAAATCACGCGTCATGTCACAGCACCTCTTGGTTCATTTTCGCTACCGTCTCAAAGATTTGAGCATGTTCATTTAGACTTAATAATTATGCCTTATTCCGAAGGATTACGCTACTGTCTCACGTGTATCGATAGATTTACCACATGGCCTGAGGTAATTCCATTGGAAGATCAAGAAGCGGAAACTGTTGCACGAGCTTTCTACATGAATTGGATTGCAAGATTTGGTATTCCTCTTCGTATCACAACAGACCAAGGAAGACAATTTGAGTCATGCCTTTTCAAACAACTTAAGCACTTGACTGGTACGAACCATCTTAGAACTATGGCCTATCATCCCTCAGCAAATGGCATGGTGGAACGAAGCCATCGGCAGCTTAAAGCCGCTATTAAGGGTCATCAGAATAACCGATGGACAGAAACTCTTCCGACAGTCTTATTGGGAATCCGAGCAGCTTGGCGTGACGATCTTAAATCCACATCGGCAGAATTAGTYTATGGAGAGCCACTTAGACTTCCTGGTGAATTCCTCACGTCAGATAATAATGCCACCAAGTTCGATGATGCAGCTGAGTTTATCAAAGACCTTCGAAATCATATTCAGCAGATCCGACCAGTCAATGGTACGCGACATGGCGAGAAGAAAAACTTTGTTTTCAAGGATCTCGCAACTACTGAGTACGTATTCATTCGACATGATGGACCCAAAACCGGAATACAAATGCCCTATGATGGTCCCTATAGAGTCATAAGCAGAAATAAAAAGACTTTTGTCATCGACATGAAGAAGAAGGAAATTAGAGTAACTATTGATAGACTTAAACCAGCCTACATCATAGTAGACGACGATTCTAAGGAGGATATTTCGAGAAAGGTCCAGACACCTACACCCYTTACCATTTCAAAGGAGGATCAAAGGACACGTTCCGGAAGAAGAGTTCATTTTCCAGACCGTCTCCAAGTAGGATCTGTTTGACTCCGTCACTGGTAGGGGAGTGATGTGGCGACGTAAACAACGCACCACGAGTCGTCCAAGTTGTTTACAATATTGCCAGTGAATGATGGGAAATCCCATGCTCTAACTTCTAGATTCTAGAATATACGATAATTATCTCGTAAGAGTAATTTCGAAAAAGTTCTAAAACAATTGACGCATATATGTATATACCGACGGGTCAGACGCTCAGTCAGTCAGTCCGAGAGTACCCTCCGCAGCACACCATGAGTACACTACGCGTCACATGTGAATTACACACCGCCACATTCTCCGCGAGATATTCCGCGTTTTCTCCGTCATTGTAACATATATATTGATATTTGTTTTTCACATTTATATTCACACATATTTATGTAATATAGTGTTTATTTTTAATTAAATTAAATTGTGAGTAATTTTTATTGCCTAAAACCGACAATACTTGTTAAAGTCATCCGTATCGTACCTACGTCATTTAATGTCTTTTAATGTGTACATTACCGTACATTATATGATGTTATGTTACTTTTGGGTTATTGACGTTAATGTAATACTAATGCATAATAGTAATAATATACCATGTACAAATAATATTTAAAAATAACTATTTCTGTTTGCTTTTCAAAATGTTAAAATGTCACATGGTTCGAATTTGTGTGATCTGTGTAAGACTGACGGTGTCGATGGCGTTTCCATGCATGGGTATTTATCATGTATACTATACACTCTTGATGATATAGGTATTGTTAAACAATAGAAAAGCAACAAAAAATTATAAAGCTAAAAGCAAAAACAAAAAAAATGCATTTTGAAGCAATTTGAATAGGTAGATATTATAATTAAATTAATAATTTTTAAGCAAAATACAACCTGCGCAGTGTTGAAAAGCTACGTTCCGCTGAAGCAATACTTATTGGTAAAGTTCCCAATATAAACAAAAGCTTTTTAATTATGGGAAAAAAAACTAAATCACACTCTTCAATGGCACTAAATACATCTTTAGGAATTTCATTTTCTAAAATAAAGAAGTCAACTTTAAATTATAAATTTAGTTATTGTTTTTGACAAAAAGTGTAGCAATAATAATTATATTATTTACCGTCATCATTCTTTGAAATCCATTTTGTCTTCCAAAGATCCAACTCTCCATTGAATGCAATTTCATTAATATCCAAAAATTGATATTGTTCATTTATAGTTATTGTTAACTCATTACTTTTTTCTGTTGACATTTTAACAACATGTATTGGAAGAAGCTGCATCATTATATACATTGTTTTATTTTTATTATTGTAAAATCGAGAATGTATATCCTCCAAAACATTATCAAGAATGGGTATATATAAAATTCTTCTATAGTATTCTTCAGGGCAACTTGCTGGTGTATTCGAACGGTTAGATTGGTGTTTGGAAATGCGTGGTACTTTTACATCAATATCTAAAGTAGTCATAGTAGTTTTACACTTTTCAAAAATAATTTTAAATTCGTTTTCAAAATGTGAACGTTTGTTTTCCGAATTTTTCACAACTGTTTTTATACAATTATCAGCAGTAGCAATATCTTGTGCCACTCCTTGAAAACTCTACTTGCTGCTGCTGTAACGCTCAAAATATTTGATATTGTATATAAAGTTAACACAAATTCACATGTAGAAATTGCATGTAATAGTGTCTTTGCTTTTGACGATGAAGTTTGATTAGTCCATTCAGATATATAAGTCAAACTGTCAATAATTCCTGATAAGTACATTTGAAATTCAAAAAYAYACTCATGCCGTTCGACCCATCGTGTTTCGCATAATCCAGTAATAGAGCGTTTAAAGCCTTTAAGGCAATTTTTTAAAACAAAACTTCTTTTAGAAGATGTATTAAAAAAAGATAGAACTTCTTTTATGATGCCCATAGTGTTTCTAACTAACTGTACATTAGATGACTTTGAGATGCTCATGTTCAATGCATGGTTTGAACATGGACTGTAAACAGCATTGGGACAGCTTTTCTGAATTTCAGCAACTGCTCCACGTGCTACAGATGTCATGACTGAGCACCCGTCGGTTCCAATCCCTACACAGTTATTTAAGTCTAACGACACGTCTTTCATGATTGATACAACAGCATTTCCCAATACAATACCAGTTAATTTTGGTTCTACATTATCTTCTGTAAGTTTATCATAAACATAATCATGACAATTTATAAAACCAATAAACTGTTCATGAACATTATTAGTTTTATCAACAAATCTCAAAGACAAACTTAGTTGTGAAATATGGGAAATATCAGTTGTTTCGTCAAATATAATACTGTAGTAGCAAGATTCCTTAACATTATTTAAAATATGTGACAATATTTCTTCTTTACAACACTCAATTAACTGTTCCTGTGTAGTGTGAGAAATATAAGTAGCTTTAGCACTAGTTGTTTGTAAATGTTTTTCTAATACTTTATCCCAAGAAGCTATTTTGAATTTTAGTAATTGCCTAAAATTACCTTCATTGGTTGGCAATAAATCAATATTTGTATTTAATTTACCTTGATCACGGTGTCCTCTGAATGCTAAATTTTGGCGTCCCAAAAATATAATACACTCTATAATTGGTTTGAGCCTCTCACGATTTTCAGTTATTTGTTGCATTCGTTGTGTACTCATTAAGTTAATTATTTCTTTTTGAGGATTTTTGTAATGGTC